TAGCCACTGAACCACCCCTACGTTCAGTAAACTGACCAGTGACTATGTATGCTAAACGAGTTACCAATACTCTCCTCGTTAGCGAACCTAGGATTCGCCAAGCTAAATGAAAGTCGGATTCAATTAGCCGTTTCTACAGGCTTACACATGGATAAAAGTTGTGTTATGAAGAACTTCAAAAGATGCATCCTAAATTTTTTTTCCAATCCAGAAAACAATATTCTATAGATGGTCCTCTAAATTAGGCCATGTTTACAGTGGATACCCACGAGATCTATTTAAAGTTTTCTGGCATCCCAAGCCATTGGATTCCAAGTAGCATTAGCATTTCGTGTCCGCAGTATGTGTTCTGCGCTACGCCTGTCAGAGCCAGAATAAAGGAACTAGAAGAACATTGTTAAATGACCGAAATGACTTTTTCAGACAAGATCCAATCATAGAGATACTGTATGCGGGATTAGAAATTATAACTGGTTAACCCTGGTGAATTCTAGGAAGCATCCTACGTATTCGGCATTCTACGGTGATTACCCATGCAACAATGCTGCGGCTGATCACCCAAAGAAACGATACAGAATCTCAGGTATTAATATTCAACATAACTAAGAGGTAGACGAGCCAATTAGTGACTGTTTTGCTACCCGTAATTAACATATATGAAGACTGGGTTTGCGCCATGGCTAGACTAGAAAATGCAAAATATGAACAAGAGAATGTCGGTAACTATTGATTTTTCAATGCTCAATAAATACAAACGAAATTCCAATGAGATCAGCGGAAACCGTGTTATCGTCATACTGCAAAAGTATACCGCGTATAATCAGACTTATACGCTTGGTTAGCCTAACGACATTCCTTGAAACCCCTATTTGATCCCTGTAACCACTGAAACGTGCAGTTTCCTAGGTCCGACAAGTAAATATGTCTCTGATATACCAGTGAAGTATCCAGAAACGGCCATATATGCAGAAATAACTAGTTTACAGTTAAGCTGGTCACAAGTACGGAGACTCTGCAAGGAATATTTGATCCGTGCGCTTTTGTAGCCTCCTATCTTTGAAACCGATGAAAATCTATCTCATGCAGTTTAGAAAGTCAGTATTTGCTAAAAGTCTGAGAAAGACTGAACAGCCGTGTTGGTGACAATGTTTATGACACAACTGTTACACCTGTCTCAATCTACATGCACGCAAGTTATCTAGTTGGAGCATGGGAAAGTGATCATAGCCAATCAGTTCAAAGGAGGGAGGGATTGTTCTTCTCATGATAGACGGTTCCAACTTATTCCCATGTGCCTGCAGCAAACAGTTAACACAGTGCTCTTTGTCCCATCTGATCAGTTTTGACAGGACGAGCGAAGTAACGCGACTTTCGGTTCACGCCAACCCACATGAACATTCATTTCGAGCTGATCATGTAGATGTGTGAACATGTGTTGGGGTGTGGACTCTGGGACCGAACGTGATACGCCGGACAATTTGTCAACATCTAACCAGTGACTACAGGCTTTCCAGCTTTGGACATCTCAAGCGAGGATGCGTAGGGAAGGGGTGAACGAATGAACAAAAAATCCTTTAACGATGTGTGAACAGCGGAACCAGCTGTCAGGATTCTATCATGAACATTGAACAGATGGGTTTGTTTTGGAGCACACGTGTTAGCGGGTATGCGTTAATTATATATTGACCAATGAGAAAATCTGGAAGTAAAGATACGTTATCACGAATGTTAGTCAGTGACTCCCTGTTCGTCCATAACCAAGCATTCATGCAGTTACTCCTTGGTTTAAGACCACCTTTGAAGAAATAGCACAGGCAGATACCTGAAGTTGTATGAGCCAAGCAACATAAGATGAGCTTTACAAATAAGAAAAAGCCACTTAACTCAGCATCACTTTCTACTGTTACTTAATGGCAAGTAGCTCTTTGGCTGTCTGAATGCCAGTAACCTGGAGATATTAAAAACTCTAAATTTCCGAACGTCTTGGAGAGGGTAATAGATGAGAATGGTCTAACTGCAACGTTAATTGTGAAGTCTTCTGAATTAGATGACGGAACTTACAGTGTTCCTGCTTATTCAACTGTTTCGTTCAACCAGTTTTCGCTAAGATATTTGACACGCTCAGTGGTTGGGACTTAACCCTTTGGTAACAAGAGATTATGGTCGAGTACCCATTTAGACTTATTGAGAGGGAATCCATCATGTGATCCTGTAGTTAACAGTTCCAGGCTGTTAACTGCACAACCACCTGCTTCTATTCGCATCTAAAGCTAGCGTTATTAGCCGTATATTCCCTCAGAACAGTGTGACTACTCTGAAATGTCAGGCTGGTTGTCCAGCTCAGTGGAATTTAAAGTTCAGTCAAGCGTACCTTGGCCCACTACACGGCGCGATTGCTTCCTTCATTGTGTGTTTTACCTATACGCACTTTACTACATAGTATTGTGCCACGTTATAAACTTTGTCCTCCTGAGGAGGTCATTCTCCTCAGAAATGTACAATAACAAGGCCTATTGGGTACAATTCTGAAGGGGGATCATCCTCCAGGACTGCCTCTTCCCAGTTTCTCCAGAGTTTGTGCATTCGTCCTCGTAAAACTGGCAAATGAATTAAATGAGTTTGGTGAATTGGTACTAGCTCAAGGATACCGCTCCCCGATCACTCACAAGAGGCTTCAATACTTTTTACAAAAGTGTGGATTCTGTTCCGACACTATAAACCTTCAATTACATCTTAAATCTGTAAATCACTTAAGCGTTGTGTTGAAATTAACAAGGAAATATATAAACATCTGCTCACATCTCCTCCCTCACGTAAAAATCTTTACGAGTCTTAGAGGGTCTTAGAGGAATGTAAAAATGTGTTGTTAGCGCATCGCAAACCTATCTAGCTGATTTTCGTTAGTTGTCATTGTGAAGGTAATCATAAAAGTGGTCTTATCCATATTTGACAAGGGTAGACAGGCTTTATAACGAAGTCTATCTAAAGAACTTTTATTGAGTAAGGGGAAGTGGCTCAGTACACTGAGCAATTACAGTCAACTCGGCACATTTTATGAGTGGCAGAAGTATGCTAGTTGTTTGCACATGTTCAAGGCCTACTTGGTTCTTGGTCGTGTATACTAGTGCATGTTCAGAATCGACAACCTGTCTGTGGTCCGACGAATTGTTTGGCCAGCCTATTCTGTTGGTTGACAGGACCTTTTCTTGGTGATCGGATTCTCCCAATGAGCAGCCCAGAAGTCATACTGGGTAAACTAATGCAGCAGCTCCAGACCGGGCTGACTACCTTGTTTGGTTTCGACGTACTGGTTACTTAAGACAATGACTATCTTGGTCTACCTGGCACCCTTATCGCAGCTTCAACCGACATACAAGGGAGGGTTGTGGCAAGCTGGCTCCGTAGTTCACCGTCGAATTCAAGTCCGTAAGGTGTCGGCAATAGCGCGGTCATCCATTTGGCATGTGCTGATTGTTCCCGCTGGTTACCGATGAAGGCTAACCTGAGCCAACAAGGCCGACATGAGCACCCCATTCAGCCTAATGCAGATAAGTTTGACAGAGTGAAGACTTTCTGTGCGCGCCGTTCTTATTAAGAGGCACAGAAAGTTTTGCGCCCGACTGATGTGACACGGAAGCCACGTTTTCGCCAGACCAAATCGACATATTCCTGGTCAACGGGCTATCAGTATCAAAACCGGGTTGATTGTGATTAAAAATGACAAACACATTCAGTGGCCTCGACCAAAAGTCGATCAAAGTCGATCCACATTCGTCCGGCTCTGAAGCCTATAGCACCCAGTTAAGCTAAGCCGTGGAATGCACCGTGTCACACTTGCAGTCCAGATGCGATAGTTCACCAACTAATACCGAACTTTTGGTCTTTTCCGGAGGGTTTCAATCCAGCGCCTTGATACCGTAGCGGTTCTGTCACTTCTGGACCTCCACGCATCCAACTTACTTCCACAAACTTGGAAACCTGTCTTTCTAAACCGTCACCAGCAAGCTCATTAGGTACCGGCCAACTGCGCCATCATTCAGACCATATAGCAGCAGAGACAGAAAGGTGCAACATCCACTGCGCTCGACGGGTCGTGAAAACATCATATGAAAATGCAGCCCAACTTCGGATACCGAAATAGACTAGATACAAACGCTCTCTGTTCCAAAACACATGGATGGCCTGCCAAATTGGGCAGTGCCGCCATCAGACTAGAGTTCAACCGTGCCAGTTACGAGCGAGGAAGTTGGCTGTACAATCTGCTTGGTGGGCAGTACATTTTTGAAGAAGCCCATACCCAGAATGCTTCGCCTGCTCAGAGTTCCCTGCTACAGAGGAATTAGGCATGGAAATCCACTCTTCCTAACAGTGTTAATGACAGTGAAGAATGGGATGTTGGATTGTAAATGCCACAAACGGGTTTCTGTTTTCATGACACCTGAGTAAATATTTTTCTTTGGCTTACGACCGGGTTGTGTGTGCATGCAGTCAGGATTACTCTAAAGAACCCGCTGAGGCCACTGGAAAGTCCACTGAGACAACCAACGCCAGAAACACCCAAGCAATGATGATTTGTAGGGAAGCAGCACGGTTCCAGCCGAACCCTTTTGCTTTGCTGAGGAACCCATTAATCATCTGGGTTCAACAGACACTATGGCTTACTTACTTTTAGCAGGAGGATGTTGCAGCTGCTGAGAGCAACGGTTGAAACTGCTTGAAGAGATGTGTCCCATGGAAGCGAAGTCAACAAAGGGAGGTCACACTAAACCTCCTAATACAAAGGCTGACACATTATTTCACACTCCGGCAAACCTGTTGTAGACCCTCCAATGAACTGGATAATGATATGTAGTCTCTCCGTGGCTGACTACCTCTGCCGAAGGACACAGATCAGCTACACTAGTAAACATGTAAGACCGGGTATTCCAAGCCTGAGTACACTCATCCGAAAAAGGGACGGGCGCGTGTGCAAAAGTTCCCGTTTCGTAGTACCGAAAATATTAAGTAATGAGTTTGGTGGTCCTGGATTTGGGGCGGCTGTTCGGGCCCAAGGACTGTACGCAAACTTCGGGGAAGTAATGGTGGCTGTTTGGGGAAATAGTCCGCATAAAAGTGTTGATGACCGTGGCCTGAGATTTCTTATTGATAGGCCCTTTTCGAGTGGATCGTTTGTTTCCAGAACACGTGTTTTCTGGCATATCCAGATCCGGTACAATCAGCTGAGGACGAGAGTTGGAAACTTTTGGCGTGGTCATGGTGACCAGACGACCTTTGGTCATAGAAACTAAGGTCGACCACAGAGCTGAGTTGATGCAGTGGATCAGGTAAGACGCACGACGTACTCATCAAAATCGAGTTGCAATATAGCTCGAAAACGTCTCTGGCATCTGGGTTACACGGTCTTCAAGGAGTTGAGTTCACCTCTTTGATATCTTCCATCAAGGCCGAACTGATGGCCGTGTAGAGGCGCCAAGAAACGGAGATAGGCGTGCATATTTTCTAGTATAGGCCCGAAAGGATCGCGGTAAACGAGAATGATCAGTAGTACGGTGCTGACTAACATTCTCAGCCCTACAAGCCACCAATTTCTGATGTTGGTCGTTTAGTTCACGGAGGTACATGCTTTCCTCAGTCTAAGAAGACTTGTCGGATAGGGACTCCATTAGTTTACCATCAGTGAATTACGTTCAACATTTTAGAAACCCTACGTGGTTGCGACAATTTTGTGTGCGATAAATCAAGCTGAGTTATATTTCTTGCCAACTGCTTTCATACCCGACCTTCTATGATGTAAACCCTGTGCATGATGTGCGACTGTTGGCTGGGTTAACGCTTACTGCTCCCTGAATTGCGCTGAAAATTGTTCATCCTTTCTTTAGTTGCCCATCTTTACACATGTGTTCGCATGCCTGGCTGGATATACTAATAGTACGTCTTCTTTAAGACGCTCTTTCTTTCATACATTCAACCACGTTTTCGGCTCGCATTTAGAGTTTTGTGACCATGTTGTTCAAAAACATACGATAAACATTGGGCGATAAGGCTTCCGATTGGCCAAGGGAAGGATGCAGCAAAGAGAACCGTAAGAATGGTACAATCCTGACAGTTCGAAACGACATATCGATAAGCGAAACCACTGAGTTGATTGATCGCACATTTCTGTTTCACCTCACCATTTCCGTCAATCCTTACTCCAATGCTCCATACAACCTGATATCGACCGCCATTTCATAAGGAAAAACAAACATTTTTCCTCACGAGGACTCGATAATTAACAAGCAGTTGGCTTGGGTTTTCACTTGATTTTAAGGAAGAATGATGTCCCGCTGTTTCCAACAACAATCTCGCGCGGAATTTTCAGACACGGGGAAATGTGGCTGGTAGGTGATGGATAGGCACAGCTCGACAATTATTAAATGACATACGTGTAATAAAGCTCTAGAATTATGGAGATATGAGAGAAAGTACACGCGGAAAGCGACTCTCAGTAAAAGGAACTGCATTAGTGCACAACTTCACAATCTGTTTTTTAAGATACATGTCGCATGTGCTGATATACTGGAATGGAGTTCCTCACTAGTGCCCATTAGAAAAATTGAAGTGGCCCCATACAATCGAGTATTCTGCAAAGAGAGGGCGGTACTGAGTGACTTATTATATATATATATATTAGATATATCACAAAAATCCGTTTCCGATGTATCTATTCGTTCATCCGTTTGCTCATAATGTCACCTTCGTAAGCGGTGAAAAGGCCTACTCTGAGCTACATCTTTGAGGATGCATCCCTCACTGTGGGTCATTTTTAATGCTTAGTTTGATAATGACAGAGAAACCGCGAAGAACATACTCAAACCTATAGAGGAGAGTGTTGGTAATTCAGGTGGCTTAACAACTCACTGATGGTGTCACCCAGATTGGTGATTCAACGTTTGCAATCAAATTACTAAGTTCATCGAACAAACCACCGACCATACTCATACCACCTTGAAACTGTCTACTGTAGAGTACAGACAGGGTCGAAAGCCACAGCAGCAAATATTTAGTGCAATTTAGGGGAAGGACACCGTTTCCCACGTTAACTCCTCCAAGGAGGGGCATAGAGACAATCCACTATATCATTGTGTAATGTGTCTCCATAGTAAACCGATCACGGAATTAGTGCGCAGAGACGACACCGTAGGTGGTACGCGCCCAATTGAGTGCCGTATGAAAAACTGTGGAACCAAGAAACTGCGGAAACTGTAGAACATAAGAACATCCGAAAGCTATGCAGTCCGAATTTATTTACACACCAAAGCAGCTGCTTGCGTGTGATCTGCCTTAAGCGAGAGGGGAGGTAGGAGGAGTTTGGAAAAACTCATCAAAAAGCACTTTGAGTCATCCGGCATTTATCCATACAATCCTGGATACGACAGATGCAACAACCTGAAGGGAGCTTGGAGGCGCTAGGACTGATGTTTTTAAAAAAACAAGGGAAACTACGAATGAATTGTAAACCAAAAAGTGACCAGCTTCTCGTTGTCACAACAGACTTTCGTTAGGCTGAAAATGATCCATACAGCGGAAGTTCAGTGAATTTTCCCATATACAGTTCTGCCTGAGATTGACTAATTAGGAGGATACGGCGAGACTCGGGATGTGATTTGTCTCAGTGTCGCAAAACGACCTAAATACTCGCAGCGAACTTCTAAGTTTGTTCAGGATGACTTGGAGCTGGGAGACACGCGAGCATATACGCTCCAGCAGACCAGGACCAATGGGTCGCTAGCATACTCATAAATACTCACTTGCTTGGGGTAGATGACTGAACTGGGACGAAATAGACATGTCTTTTAACCAGTACCTCCGTGAATCATAAGTACATACGAATAACAATATCATTACCCATATGGTTATTACAGTAGTGCTAGTTTACCCGTTGGCACAATAATGGTGCGCCCACGGAGGGTGATGATCGTCTTTCGCTGAAGCTTAGGAGATTGGATAGATCGAAGCGGTACTATGATGAAAAACCTTTAACTGTGGATGGCAATTATTGTAATGCGGTCATCTTCGCACCAGGTGAACGCCAGAAAAATTCCTCCACTTAGGTGTCAGTCGATTTTGTTCTCTCCGGTCTTCCGCAGGAGCTCACATGCAACAAGACTTTCGACTTCGTGCAAGCCATCTGCGTTTGTCCGGCTGTGAGAGCGTTAAGTACTAATCTGATTCGGACGCGAGTCATTCATATTCGATAGCAATACCCACCACATTGCTCAAAAGGGGAACCAAATTAGCGTTCAGTTTCTCGTCTTTTATTTGACGAGCATGGGTACCAAGTTATTCTATACTTGATTCACACAATAAGCTGAGTGTGAAACAATTTGCCCTAGGACTTACACAGCAAAGTCACTTTGCTAATCAGCCCCTTTCTTATTCTTGCATCAGGGAATAAGATAGGTTCACACTGCTTGTTACAATGTCTTTATTGTTAGCCGCACAGATGAGTGCTCGATACAAGACAGATAAATCTACCCGGTGTCATCCCGTTGACCCGCATGTTTGTCAGTACATGCAAACATGTACGTCCTAGATGGATGGTTGAGAACTGGCTACATGCGCCCAGTTCTACGCCGCCAGGGACGTGCTGGCGGGTCAAGTGATTTCCGGTTGCAACCACCAAAGACAATTCTGTGTGGCTAAACCTAGCGTGCAAAGTCACAGCAGATAACAGAGGGTGTGAAGAGGATGGACCAGGGGGTGAGTGAGGATTAGTTGTGCTAACAATAAGCCATATATCAAAGGCGCGGCATCTGTTCGGAGTGGCGGTATTGTTCTGACAACAAAAGAGCGCGCTGGTCGCTTGAAAGAGGGTGGTTGCCAACGCTCAGACGTAAATTTGTCATCGACATCACTGAGACCATTGCTGGAGAGGAAAGGTGTGAACCGTCCTCCAAAATGGCAAACGAAGATGCCGTGACCTTTGTTTTTGGTGTTTCACTGCTTTTAACACCTCCTCTGATCCCGCACACTCAAACTCAGCCAACCCAGTTGGTCAAAATGAAACATGCCTGGCAAATTCATTGCCTCGAAAAACCTAAAAGCACTAACGTAATTGGTATCGTCATAAAATTTGCAGTAATCGTAACTAGGTAACAATGCAATCGACAGAACCAGATCATTGGGATTTATCCGCCAATCCTCGGAAAAGACGTGATTTGCCACCACGGTACACGAAATCCGAAGTATATTGGGATGGCAAATCTTCCAATAATTTTTTTGGGCGCGATATAAGATAGATCTCATACAAGACAGTTCTATGGCGCCCAAAACGAATCCAAAACGAGTTCTCATTGTGAGTAATGATCTGGGAGATCGGTATTATATGGACCAGTTTTCACTGCTTCTTAATGCTCATCCAGGTAGCTAGGGTACCTCGGATGCCTACAGGTGCCTTTAAAGTACTCAATGTGTGGCCAACCGGATGCTTGTGTTTTTCCTGTTTAAAACAGCCTTTCGAAACAAAACGAAAGAGTGAACGATCAGGGGGACCTCAGCAGATAGGGATCCTCAGAATCCGAATGTAATATTGGTTTTGAGACAAAACGAAGTCACTCATGATTTATTGGTTTCTTCTCCCGCATACTAGTACCAACAAAATAATCTCGATGGGTAGACACGAAAAAACTGAGTCCTATAACAAAATTTGCAACTAAAGTGAATCTAGACTCTTCGGAACTAGTCAGGTCCAAGGCCTATGTGTAGGTTACAATAAGGGTCGGGTGTGCTACCAAGCCGTTCAGCTATACGAAACCGAATCTGAGGCCCCATGTACGTGAAGTCGAGTAAAACTGTATAGTCCTGTCCATCTTTACTCGACCAGACGATCAACAGCTGACTTTTTTGTCAGAATTTACTGAATTTCGTGTGTTGATCAACGTACATTTTTTCGTCTAGATGAACTTCCAGCTTTCGTTCAGCAGCACGACAAAATGAGAACGTCCTTCTGTCCTCATCGTGACGTAAACATCACAGGTTTAAAACCCAGAATAGGCTTTGGTCTGCCGTTGTATGTGTTCTAGGAGTTTTTCGAAAAATACCCAACTCCTGTCATACGTCCTCCTTTGGACAGCCACCTCCGAGTTTAGTCAGTGCCTTTAGATGATTGAAATTGCTAGTGCTGTCAGAATTAATCGGTGAATGTGATTCTGAACATCCTGAGTGACGAATAAACCAGCCTGGTTCAAATAAAATAGCATAGCTATCCACTGCTAAAGGTTCAGAGACTAGTGGAAGGGAAATCAAAGAGGTTTGCCTCCA